CTGTACAGTTCCCCTTCTCCTAAGTAAGATACTCCATGTTAGATGCAACTCTGACAAAGTCTTGTCATTAAAATTTGTAAAGTAAATAAACAAAAATAATGAGGTTCTATATCATATGTTATAGTAAAACAGCTGATTGGCAAACAACTATCATAAATCAGTATACAAGGGATGGTACCAATAAAGAGACAGAATAATAACTGTTACCAATCATCTGAAATTTAATAAAAACGTTCATATCTCCGCTTACTGACTTTTTAATAAGAGGGAAGATTATAAAGCATTTTTTAAAGACTATCATTAATTACTTCGTATATTTAATAATTTTCAAAATTGTTTGTTAATTTCAATAGTTGAGATCATGAGTCAATTAAAGCTAGACCGCCGTGAAGACTGAAAGACCGATAGGTCCTGGGTTCGGATCTCGCGAAGCGGGATCATGGATGTACACTGCCGTTAGGACGAAACGGCCATCCAGTGCTTTCATGTTTTTCATGGTGGTCTAGCTTCAATTTACTTATGATCTTAACTATTGAGATTACTATAATATCCACAAAAAAATGATATTAATTATTTATTATTTGACGAATTATTATGATTTATTTGCTTATTTTAACAACTTACTAAGAATCAATGGAATGAATTGACGAAAGTAATTTATTGATTGAATTTACTAATGTATACTTGAAAATAAATCAAACAATGCAATAGTAAAACTTGCAAAAATTCTGCTGTCAATATCTTATTGGGAGTTAAAATAAAACATAGAGAATGTGGTACTCTCATGGGGAAGTAAATTTTCAGTGGTTTCTAAAACAATAGATTAAATCTAAATAAACAGTTCTAAAAACATGACCACCATGGATTGTTTTGACCAAAAGTGAAGTGTTTTAAAAGAAAATTACTATAGCATTTGAAAGAAAATCGACTCTTTTTTATAGAGTTTTGTTCTCTGAGCTGGATGGTTTGATCTTGGAGCTTTCATCGTTCTTCTGAACGATATCATCAGCACAAACTTCAAGTAGAAGTGAACTGTTCGAATTTTTCCATATGTGGTTCACAGCTTGTCATGTAGACCTCGATGTTGATTGGTTCTTATTAACCTTGAACCTATCATTGCTTACATTTTTGTTTTGGTTTGATTTTTGGTCTACCTGAAGTTTGTGCTGATGATGTCGTTCAGAAAAACGACGATCAAACCATATAGCTCAGAGAACAAAACTTCATCAAGATCATCCACCTCAGCTACAAATTGTCTTCACCTTCTTAAAAATCAATTCGTTTTGCTCAAGAGAATTTTGTCTTTAAAATTAATTAAAATGATTAGAATATAAAGTATTTTGAAAATCCGAAATATTTACATATAAACTATATCACTAAAAAAATGCTTGCACACAGTACATTAATGAGTGTAGAAAAAAACTGAATATAGACATTCGGAATTGATACACTTACCTGATCAGTACCAAATAGGACAATATACTCATCCTGGATTCCATTGCTAGCCATCATCCATAAAAACAATAAGTTCTTAATCCTTCTTATTGGTATATTGGGTAATCCTTAATTCTTTATATATATATATATATATATATATATATATATATATATATATACTTTTTTTCTGGAATCGTAATTCATTTCGTTTCTTAATTAAAACTAATTTGTGTCAACAGTAGTAAATTGCGAATTAGTTTCTTTTTTTCCCTTAACTGTATATAATTAAATGTGTTTATTGAATAACCTGCAACTTGCTAAACAACAGTAATAAATAATACAAAACAGGTGGTCAGCTATTCTTTCATTCATTCATTCATGATTAACTCTTATCCTTTTCACATCTACTGAATATCATATTTTTTTCTAAAAAAAAATGTCAATAATTTTTATAGGATGTAATTTATTCTATTTTTCAAGATTTATCGTTTATCATACTTTTATTCTTGTCGTCAGTATTGAACAGATGTTCTAAACAATTTTTACACTTTGTTTTATCAACCTTATTATATATATATATATGTTTGTGTTTTTTTGAACAGAAAATAGAAATCAACCAGTTTTCTTATGGAACAAAAAAAACCCCGGTGAAAAACAAATGAAGCAGTTAGTAGTAGTTGGTTAAGCCTTTGTTATGATGTAATCGAAGTTTATAACGTTCATCTGACAATACTTTTTACATGTAAGTTCACCTGGTGTGTGTATATATTTTATATATATTAAAGAGTTTGTGCGTGTCTATGACCTTGATGTGTGTTTATATGTTTAATATATCTAATGAATATTAATCGTCACATTTAGATATATGGAAAGCGATTTGGGATACGTACAGTCTTAATTTGAGTTTGTGTGTGTGTGTCAATGCACATCACAAAGGATGGTTGAGAAAGATAAAGTTTTTGTCTTATTGTAATTATAATAATAATAATAATATAATCCCTTCTAAACAGAATCGTAGTCACCATGATCGAATGCGGGTTTGGTATAACCGATAGAAAAAAGTTGCGTAATAAGGAAAGAATAACACAAAACCCATAAAATTACTGAAAACAGATGGTAGTATTTAATATATTACTTACTAAATTTACTTAGTGGTTTATTTCAATAGTGAAGAAAATAAACTATTGTAATGGGTCATATTTCTTAATATAGTGAAATTAAATCACTCCGTAAATACAACATTTACAACTCAATGAATTTTTTAAACTCGTTTTTTTCACTTTACAAAAATCTATTTTCAAATTTAAAGCAATTAGTCCCTTTTATAAATTTCGATAATGTAATAAGAAGACGGAGATTATCAAAACTATGTGATATATTAGCGCAATACATTTCGAACAATCTGATCACACATAATATACTTGTTACGAACATTTATATATAAAAATAAAAGGTCAACAAGACTGGAAATGGGGTAAGAGGAGATAAGGATAATAATAATAAATATTAATAATAATAATCTGAACACAATTCAAAACCTAATCACTCTGGATAATAAGTCAATATTACCAGGGTAGGTTTAAGGTAAGAACAAACTGTTTTTGAATACACAAAGGGGGTTTGAATTTTCGTATGGCTAAGGCTTCAATAAACCTTAGTATACACCCTTTTACACTTTTATATAATACCACAAAAGCCGAGTTTAGATCAATCTTGTGCCCTGTTTCAATTATATGTTTAGCAATAGAGGATGATGGATGTTTATCCTCTGCTCTTATTGGGTCACTTGATTGTATTTTTATATATAAATGCTCTTAACAAGTATATGTGTGATCAGATTGTTCGAAATGTATTGCGCTAATATATCACATAGTTTTGATAATCTCCGTCTTCTTATTACATTATCGATATCTATTTTCAAATAAGAAAGATTAGCTCAGCGAAGAGTTCCCTTTTGATGACATTCATAAATGTCAGAAGAGTTTTTGTGGATATTATAGTAATTTCAACGGTTGAGATCATGGGTCAATTGAAACTAGACCACCATGGAAAACCTGGAAGCACTGGACGACCGTTTCATCTTATTGTGAGACTCCTTGGCAACTTTATAAATATACATTCATAAATGTGTCTGACGTCGTTAACTTATTAAACGAAAGGTATTTCAGTTTCGAAATAAAACACCCAGTGAATCCTTCTCAACTTTATATATTTATTTTATAGTTTACACCAAACACTAAACAATAAACACTAAGGAATTATTTCACCTAACATAGGACTTCTTTACAGTAGACTTCCACAATCATATTAGTTAATGCTCTTGTACGACAATTATCACTAATTACCGATAAATGTATACTTTGTCAGTTAATCTTGAAGTTAGTCTTTTATTCGTTAGTATTTGGAAATTGTTGCCATCTTTTGTAATGAACTGAAAATATGTAAAAGCACTAATTGTTTTTAGATCAAATATTATTCAAATGTCCAGATTAATGAGCAAACATTATTGTTGATAAATTATCATCAATGGTTATATATATACAATCATAAATTAGTGATCAAGAAACGACTAATCATTTGGTAAGGATTTCGTAATTTCTCACTTTATTATTCACGACCACGGTTGATAGGCCTCAGCGTGAACATTAACACTAAGTTACAGGTATATCGATTTGACGTGGACCAAGTGAGACAAAGAACGCTTACTGAATTTCACAAATCATATATACTAAAAGTAGGAATAGTCAATTATATGATTAAACCATATAAAACTATAATTGTTGGTTGGCTACAGTTGAACACAGAAAATATGTTCCCTCTTTTTTATCCAGTTATTATGAACAGAATCTTATTTATTAACTGATCCGATCATAAACTACATGTTAGTTCAATTTCTTAATTTTCAAGAAACTAACTTATGGTTGAAAGTTTCATATGGTCAAATTTTAAGAGAGATGATTGTCTTAAACTTGGCTCTTCTTTTACAATCATCTGATAACTATAGGATAATACCAGTGACTGATTATTTACCTTAAATTATCTGATAATTTATTTATTAGGACTGTTGTCATTTCATTCAGTAGTAATCGAATTTCACTATTAACTTTTGTAATCTTACAAATTACAATTGACGTTGTTAAATAGATCTATCCAAAATTATTTCATCCATCAAAGATTGGCTGTGATTCATTTAAGGTTAATATTCAGTTGATAATTATACTTAGTGAATTCTAAATTTAAATTCACTGATAGAATGAGTTTCAAAATATTTGATATATTTTACTTTATCTATAACCCAATGTTCAATTCCATATACAACTGGATTTACGATTTAAGAATGTCGTCCCCCTCGTTTTTCTTTTTTACAATTTTTCCATTAAAATTTTTTTTTAATATTAGATTTTCTACCTTGAAAACTTAATTCACTTGACTGAAAAACGTTTTGAATATTAAAATTCCAATTGGTTAATTGGAATCACCACCCACTATGTATAGAACGAATAATATTTTTAATTTTTCTCTCCATTTACATAATAACATAAAAATTGTAATGCTTTTCTTTGTTTGTATTAATAAAAACAATAAGTTATTTCACGCTTTTCATAGATAGAAAATAAAAATACTGACATGGTTTGTTTTATTAATGTGGTCACATGTATACATGTATGTAGTTGTGCTAGTATATTGTGTATGTGTGTACATGGAATTAAGATCATTTATATACTTGCCCCCTCACCCTTTCCATTATGAAAGAGACACATAGTTTTCTATGAAATGATAAAAATTGAAAGAAAAAAAACAAACAACAACAATGAAATAAAACAAATCACACAAGAATTATTAACATTTATTTTACCATGTGAATATATGAACCAATGAAAAATTAGTTACGCTCTACATAATAAAAATTAACAAATGGAAGGGAAACAGAATTTTAAAGTTCTAAAAAAGGTTGGTGATAACGATAGACAAAAAAATAAACTGATTATAATATACAAACATATTAATTATTTGTTATATTAAATGCATGTATGTATATTTCTAATCTTTACAAATGATGAACAATAGTGTTTTAATAGAAAATTCTTTTGGATTATAATCAAATTACTTCTCATATATATCAACAACAGTAAATATCATATAATTTAATTTGGATCAAATATGAAATAATCAAAGTCATTAGACCTAAGAACACAGTAAACTATTTTTTTTAAGGAAAAAATAATTTGGACATTCAAATTGAATTTAATAATAACAGATGATAGAAACCATGGATTTTTCAAGGTAGGTCAATTCTTATTTATTATATTCAACGAGATATTATCCAACTTCATTTCATTATAATTAGGTCACCTTATTACAACATACTATTATTAAACTGTAAATCTTTAAAACTTAAACTTCATTCGCTGACTTACATTCATTTGACAACCATCCACTGTGAAACTATTTGTTCAAATGTAGATAATCGTTCTTGTATACACTAATATGATCTTTTTATTCAACATTCCCCTTTTATTTATGAGAACTCTTTACTACATCGTACAAAAAGTATTCAATAAAATGATCATTATTACCACAATTATTTTTATTAATAATGTTAATAATAATAATAATAATAATAATAATAGGTATCAGATTCTTCTAATTCTATGGTTTATTATATTATCAAAGATAATGAGAATATCTCGGCCAATCAATGAAATATTAGTGAAATCATCTGCCTAAATTAGCTTCATCTAAAACACATTATCTATTCTATGATCTATTATAGATATTCCTGTAGAATAAATATGTAGGTGAATGTGATTATTACACATTTATCACAGAAAAGTCACTAAGCCTTTAACCAATTTTGTCATTTTCATAAGAATAGCCATCATCTCATTAGACTGGTAATTCGTATGTTAAATTCCAGGAACTAATGACTGATGACTGAAACTAAACTGTGAATAAAAGCAACATATACATGTACATATAATGTTGACAAATCATTTCGTATAGACAATTGTTGATGGGCTTAGAAAAACAGTAGTGTGTTAAGTTCAAAGTTGTGTTAAATATAATGGAGGTAACAAGGTGATCAAAAAAAAAAATTTTCAGTGACAGTGACATTTAGTAAAGCTGTCTAATTTGTACAGAAAAACCTTCGTTGATGCTGCAACCAGCTGACATGACCAAGTTAGACTATCACTATCATGTTCTGAATGTAAATCGTAACAACGTTTGTAAATAAGCTGACTATAACATACGACTAGTATCACTGTTACATCAAACAAGATGTCATTAATGCGTATTGTACTTTAAGTGGTGATCATTATCCATTTTCGCTCATACCAATATTCACTGTAATTAATGGTCCACTTTTATCTCAACTGATTTTAATGTTGAGTCCTAGAAATACACATTACTAATTATATTAATCTCCTATTTAGTGAAATTTACAATATTAACATTGTTAGTACATGTTTCCTTCCAAAACCAACTTTTACATACTAATAACAATAATACTGATTGATGATACCTGTAAACAGTTTTTACTTACACTTAATTTGTTCAGAAAAACATGTGACTTTGAAATTGTAATATTAGTGTTAGTAGTAGTATTAGTATTGGTAGTGGTATTTGTAGTAATACTCACAAGCAGTGATGTGAAACTACCCGTTTTTTATGGTCTTCAACAGGCCTACTTCATATTATAATTAATTGAGAGCTTTTGAACCGTTAAATCACACTCATTATTTATTTCTTCTAAAATTACAAGAAAATTCTATTACTGAAATCAAATATGTACGAAAATGAGTATTATTCATGTTTATATAAATCTCTAGTTTAAAGGGTTTGGTAGAAAGTGGTTTAGTTCTTAGGTTGTACTATTGAAGAATAAATGTGTTTGAGCAGCCATTTATTTCTAGTATGGAACTCCTCTCGAATTCGTTCTTCAATAAGATCAACATGTAATGAATATAAGCCACATAATAAAAGTTTCCCATAAGCAAATGTAGTCACAATCTTAATTTATATTTTAGTGATTACCTATTTCAAATTTATTCACAAAATTCCGTCTTATTCACTTAATTTTCAGTTTGATTCAATCCACAATATCTCAGTGGGAATGGAAAAGCGGGATTTTTCTAGCTGATATCACATATAACTTGCACAGTTTAGTATCTATATTATTATTAGTATTATCACTTGTAATCTTATAAATGTATAATTGAAATTCTTAGGCTTAGATACAATGTATTATTAAATAGTGGGTAAAATAATCGACCTCCTATTGAGAGAGTGGCTACAAATGAACCATAGTAAGTAATATATTAATACATACATACAATTAATATCCTTTAAGTTATAAATACAAGTTGTTTTCTTTTCACTCTTTCATATTTCTAAGATGGTAATGTTTTTTGTCTCAATGAGTATATTCCGTTTACTTAAATAAATAAATAATATCCAGTCACAATAAATCATAGAATTTTGAACGTTCTTAATATAAATAAATAAATAATATATATCATCCATCTGTAGTTGTTTTGTAATCAGAGAATCGATTTTTGAAAATTCTGCATACTGTAAGTATGAAGATGTGGATTTTTAAGGTCGTACTAAACTGTACAACTGTAGTTGTAATTATACTTTAATAGTTGAGTTCATGAGTTAATTGAAGCTAGACCACCATGGAAAACATTAAAGCACTGAACAGCCGTTTCGTCCTAGTATGGGACTACTCAATAGTGTGCATTTTTTATCCAGTCTTAGCGTTAAGCGTTCGCTCGCGAGAACAAAGGTTTTGGGTTCGAATCCCGCGAGCGGGATCGTAGGTGCACACTGCAGAGAAGTTCCATACTAGAACGAAACGGCCGTCTAGTGCTTCCATGTTTTCTATTGTGGTCTAGCTTTAATTAACTCATGTCAACTATTAAACAAAATAAATCATTTAAAAATCATAGTGTGTTAATTTAACATTGTAAACATCTCAACGATTCAACATAATTTCACGTCTATCTCAACACTGGAACAATATCTGGACTGATATAGAAAGTAGTTCTTTTAATTTTATTTAATGCTAATGGTACATTATAGATACATAAGTTTAATACAAATAAAAGCTACTCAAATATTTAACATGTATAAAGTGATTTATATAAGTTATAAGTTGAAAACAATTCAAGGATAAGCCAAATGTAAAATATTCACACTCTAAACACTTTTATCCTATAAAAGTAAACCATTCACAAGTATTAAAATACTTCATTCAAATTATTATTAAGTCAAGCACTAAATTGACCAAACTAACATCTCATAAACTTATTGTAAAAAAAGGATTTTGATTGTGATATGGTAGAGAAGATTCGTAGCCTAGGTAAATGAGTTTCGTACAGTTTCGTTCTCTAAGTTGAATGATTTGTTTAAAGAACTTTCATTGTTCTTTTGAAAAAAAACTAGAATTAGAGAACAAAACTCAAATGGTAAATTTTTTTTGGGTTTAATCACTTATATAAGTTATATAAAAGTAATAATCTAATTAAAGCTGAATGATATGTAGTGAGATAATGAGCTTACAGTGAATACTGTATGCATTCAATAAGTATACTAATGTAAAAAATTGGGATAATGTTCTGTCATGACTTATTATTATTGTTATTATCAGTAGTAGTAGTAGTAGTAGTAGTAGTAGTAGTAGTGTCATATAGTGTAGTAGTCAGTCAGTCAGTAACAATGTAGAACTTCGTACGTACATCAGTTCAAGTTGCCACACCACATTAGTACAGAGATACAGTTATCAAATAAAATCCCGTAGTTGTAGAGGTAGTAAGAGTATAAACAGTAATCCAAAAGACTAAGGTTTGAAGATGTTATTCAAGGAGTATAATCCAGTAAAATAAATTTTGGAGTTTTTTTCTCAAAAACTTAATTATTTTTAAATATTCATTTTCTATAACAACAACAAAAACAAAAAATAGAAAAGATTATAAAAATCTTAACCTGAATAGGAGTTCAGTTAATTGTTCACTTCCGAATTAAAGACGATTAACTATTATAATGAATAATAAACTTTTTATACAATTTTGTAAGATTTTTTTAATAAAAACAATTTTTGCTTTTATATAAATATACTTTTTCATTTAAAAATACTTCCGGAATATTTAATAATTATTTAATGGAAAATTATTAATATATATATATATATATATATATATATATATATATATATATATATATATATATATATATAAACATTATATGGTTATTGTCTATGTATTCAAATCTATCGATACATATATATTAAGTGGAACATAATATTTATTATAAAAAACAAAACAACAACAACAATAACAATAACCAGGTTAATTATCGAAATCATAAATATTATCAACATTATTTTATCATAAAGTACCATAGTCATCGAAATCAAGTAATACTAGTTGCTTTAACCAAATTTTCTTATTATATAGTCACAAAATATATTCAATCGTTTGATTTGCTATATTATATTATCATACAGTGAAAAAAATTGAGTTATATACTACTAGGGTAGCAGAAGTAGTAACGATATTGGGAGTAAAAATTATTAAGTATACGCAATATAATTCAATAAATAATGAATTTGGAAATCTAAAAAATGTCCAAGATTTTATGGAAAACAAAGAATGGATGTAAATGAACCACTTCCATCGATTTTTAACAACTTTATCTAGGATCTCCAAACGTTCTTTATAAAAATCGTACGTACATCAACTAAGATTATTTAGTCCAACTACCAGTGACTTTCAACTAATGTCATATGTTAGTTTGGTCACTACTACCTTTCTTATTGCTTACAACACCAAAAAAACGTCTCTCATCGAAGTAGATAATGATCAGACAATGTAACACACGTCCCCGCCACCTCAGCTCAGAATCGATCACAATGACGTAGGTGTATACACTCTCTGTCTTCTCTTAAACTATGGGATTAAAATCGCTTCGTATCGTTCTTTCTACCAACTAATTCATTCTTTCTGTACTATATCCCTACATAAAAGCTGTTTATATATATTACACCATTGAGTCAACTGCTTCTATGAATCCGGTGTTCGCCTTCTTGTGCTAATGAGGTGTGGCAACTTGGACCAATGAATATATGCGTCCGGTCCTACGTTGTAACTGACTGACTGACTGACCCAGCCACCTCAGTCTACGATGATTTACTACCTTACCAAACGATTTGTCATTATTAACTAGTATCCTATGTATAACCCCAGTATTGCTCATTCGGCAGTGCCGACACACTTGAACAATACTTTGAAGGCATCTGTTATACAATACCAATAACCTGAGAATTTCCTCTATTTTAAAGACCCTCTATTACTTTTTTTTACTGAAACTAACTACATTTAAAATCATAGGTAAGTTTAACATGACATATTGATATCATATAAAGAATCACTGGACTGTTTTATACAGACGATATAATTAATTGGTGAACGTCATAGCAATATATACCATAAATACACCACTTTTGTTTGGACCACGGACAGTTAGATTCCGTAATAATTTTCCACAATAATATTCCTAGTTTTCATTGATTATCTAGGTTATTTCACTACATAAAGCAATTGAATTCCTAAGTAATCAGAAATTTCGTAAACTATGTAAATACATTATTTGTTGATTTGATTATTATGGATAGCTTAGTGAACACGCAGATTTCGACATATAAAATATTTGAGACACTAAAATTATCGAAGTGATAAGTTTATATACAGAATCACCCCATAAACATGAAGTTATCTCATGCAGTTTGCTAATACTAATCAATACTGGTAACTTAATATTCTATTTCTCATTTTTATCCTTTTAGTATTGACAGATCAGAATTATCTGAATCTTCAAATATGTATTTAGAACTCAACAATGAATCCCAATTTCATCCATTATGGTGCATTTTACCATCAAAAAATGGTACCAACAATCATATACCATATTCCACACCATGTAAAGAGAATCATCGAAATAATTCAGAATCAACTGATAACAGGAATTATAACAATAATTCTGTTCCACGAATCTCTGATGTAAATACTTTGAATAATTGTGAACAAACAGTTCCATCAATCAGTATAAATTCATCTCTTGCACAAAATAAGTCTTTTTCATTGTGTACTTCAAATGACGGAAATATTCTCAATAAAAGAGTGCACAAACTGGATGACAAAAAACTGCATCAGAATAACGGAATTTCAGAAGTGATTACAAAACAAACAGTCAATAGTTCTGAAATTCCTGTTATACAAAACATAATATCACCACAGTTTCCGACAAACGAATTTTCCTTAACACCTATTGAATCACAACAATATGATATAAATAATTGTCAGATTAGTTCTTTGAATCGGATGAATTGTCAGACAAAAACAACTACTACTGACCAATCAGACAGACAGCAGAATATGAGGTAATACATTTTGAGGAAATTGATTAATTAAATAATTTTTTAAATTGTTAACCACAAGGTATTTATGTTTTTTGACTACTTGTCATATCCACTGGCATTTAGTGCTGATGATCTTTGTTAACCACCAGTCCAATTCAAGTTAATCTGTAAATAAACGAATGTGATTTCTTAATATAAATCGAAGTCTTTTCGTGTATAGATGATGGAATAAATATTCATCTCTCAATAGTGTTTGTGTTTTAACGTTGCCTGAAGTCAAAATTTTCTCATTCTCAGTCCTAGTTCTCCTTAAAAAGTTAGTTACTAAATAATATGAATTCTTATTGGTAAAATAAGCTACGAAGGGTTTGTTGACTGAAGATAGTCGGCAAAAATTCTGGACACAGGTTTCGTGATAGCTGACACTCATCAACAGTGTGTACTCGTAATCTTAAGGAGTCACAATAAAAATAAAAAATTTGCAGTCATTAATAACTATACTTCTGAACGGGTTTTGTGCATATTACAGTGATTTTAATAGTTGAAATCATGAGTCAAATGAGGCTAGACCACCATGGAAAACATGGAAAACCAGTACTTCCAGGTATCAACTAATAAAAATAACCATATATCTATTGACCAACTTAAATGACGTGTGACGATTTTCCATGAGTTTATGATGGTTCTGATAAATAACCAGGAAGTGAAGGAGTGAAGTTATGTGATTCCATTTGATAATCTACTTAGACTAAAACTGATGTATACGAAATAGTATAGTTTTAAATGTCTGAAATATTAACATTCTAAATTTTAAAAAGGACTCGAACAGCTCATCGGTTTAGCCGTTAGGCACTAGCACCTAAGGTTAAAGGTCTTGAGCTCGATCCCTTTCAGGGTCCTGTCTGCCTCACACATCTGATCATTACTTTCTAGTCCTAAGTGGTTGTCTAGCAAGACTATTCCGTAACTTAAACCATAAAATCAAATATTTCTTATCAATAAATAAGAGATCTAGTAAATACTTATAAGTTATTCTAAAAAAAGAATTACCTCTGATATATTATATTGATTTTAGACTGTATCAGAAAATTTTACTGGGCATGATATATTCGATTGGTATTTAAATATTCACTTTAATATTGAATAAAAGAACCATGTTTCAGAAGTAAATTATTAGAACAAAACTTATTGTCTCAAATATTTATTTATTATATTGAACTGCTTCAAACTATCAAAGTTTGAATAAACAGTCAGTGTCTTCCTACTTAATGCGTTACTTAAAGTTTTTTCCATAATGATGTAGTTTTTTCCAAAAAACAATTTAGATATTTCATTGCATCATAACCTTTTAAAATTTAGTTTCTGTTATTTATTTGAACACGTGGACATTGGTACAAAGGGGAACCAAATACATGTGCGCCACACAATAACAATGAGGCCAGTAGCAGTTACCATTAATTTGTGTCAGGGCTGTGATACTTCCCGGGTGCCCAGACCGAAGCAGGTGGTTTTCTTAAAGAGCCACACCAAGAGCCTTTGATCTGAAGGTCTAATCCATAACGCAATGTGGCAACGTTAGGAAATGCAGTTCCATGGTGGCCGGCGACAAACAATAGGTTCATACGCCATTTGTCCCCTCAGGATCCTGGAACCTATGTGCATCATTGGTTTGGAATCAAGGTTTTCAAACTCCTCTAGGTGAATACTCCGTATCTACCAATCCGGTTAAATCGCCGGACATTCACTTTTCGTCCTCTTGAAAAGACAGTGAGTAAGAATTTCCTGGCAGTGGTTGTATACGCGTGGTTATATGTCGGCCTTTAGAGAGGGAGAGCGGACTCTCCTTACCCTCTGCCTTACAATAGCTGATTGAACCGTTTGCGGGCATCTACTTAGATAATATGTATAAGAGATCAGTTATGAAATAAAAGTATCTATCAATTGTTCACTCTTATAAAATCTCATTTTATACGATAAGAAATTGTTTTATAATATCAAAATGACATCTCTTTAAACTCGTAATGAAATTTATTTAGTCGATGAAAATTCATGAAGAACAAATTGTTTAATGCATGTGAATTCTTTCATAGTCAGATCACTGAACGAACAAATTTTAAGTAATAATAATCTTTAACATGTATAATTTTCAAACGACATACAATTATATAATATTTAATGATTGAATCCATGAATCAATTAAAGCTAGATCACCATAGAAAACCTGAAGGCACTGGACGGAGGTTTCGTCCTAGTATGGGACTCCTCAGTAGTGTGCATCCACCATTCCGCTCGAGGGGTTTGAACCCAGGACCTATAAAATAATATTCATCATCAATGCATCCCTTTAATTCATAACCTTCCATCAATTAATTATTCATTCATTAAAAAAATATTTAATAATAACACAAAACATAAGTGGATAATATAAAATTATAAAGGATCATAAAATCCATCGCATTTACAAATTTACAAATTAAATAGTAATTGAGATTTCAAAGATACTTACCTGATTTTTACGAATATTGTTTATTAGTTTAATGTTAAATGGTTAGAGAAAAAAATCAAGACACCCTGTATTTAGTATTGCACACAATTTAAAACTTACTAGATTAATATTTATGCTGGTTACAAAGAATCGATTCAGACTTTAATGTTAAATTATTCAGATCTCAACTAATTTATTGCAGAATAGAAATGATTACCGTAATTACTATACCTAGTCTATCGAGTGTAATTCTATTCGACTGATATAATTTAATTGACTAATGAAGTATAATTAATCGATTAGTATAATTTTCTTTGTTCCCTTAACTTTGGAAATGTTCTGACAAGTTTTGATAGCACATGGTCAAATATCATAATCTTCTGTTGTCATAGATTCCATTCATTTTTACTAAATTCTGGGTCCTATTCACTAAACTAATAACATTCTACAGACAATAATACATCCTGATTATTAATTCTGTTTATCAAAAAAACAATTAGAAGAAATCGAAAGTTTTTCGTCTTTCTCAACATAGTTCAATTTCTTTTTAAATAAAATAATTCTTAAAAGTGACATATATATATATATATATATATATATATATATATATTAGTACCCTTGACACACAGGAAAAAACAACAATTCTTGTTCATCACGAACAGCATAAGAGATTATTTGTATATTAAGTTTTCAAAAAAAACAAAGTTGTTATTAGTAAAATGGTGTATTTGTAATTGATTTTGTTTATTCCTTAAAAACAATGATCAGAGAAAAGAAACTATGATTAACTAAATGGGATAACAATAATAATAGTCATAACTATTCTGTATAAATTAAACCGTCTATCCTTTAGAATTAAGGGGAAAACAAGAGACAATGTTCGTGTGTTATCTTCCATACTTGAGTCTTTTTTATTTTGTAGTGACCAAGATAAATAACTTTTTTAACGATCTCTCCCAAGAGATTTTTAATGATACAATTAATATACAAGAAGGATAAGCCGGTATTCTATATCTGCATATATATAACATTTTCATAGTATTTTTTCATCATAATTAGAAAAAACGGTTTAACTGAATCTTTTCTATTATGTTTGTAAGTCTAAATAAGTTTATCAAGTATGAAAAACCCTCTAATTTGAATATAATGATTGAGTGCCAGTCATTTGAGATACAGGTTAATGTCTATGTTCATTCCACTGTGCTTTTGTAGCATTAATTACGTAATACGTAGATACGAGCTTTATTTGCAGTCATTTGGACTTACCTACACGCTTAATATATCCATTTTCTTTTCAGCAATTTGAGTAATACAGAAATAACAAACAAAGCGTAAAGACTAAATGCATGGATCACTGAATTTATGAACATTGAAAATTATTAGGAAACATTTCTTTTGTCTAAAAGCATACCGAAAAATGATTTGATTCTTCTTTCTCCCTTGTTCTTCTCATTCTTCTTACTTTTTTTCATTTTAATCTGATACTGGAAAAAATATGATAAATAGGGTTTCTTTTTATTTCTTTCTCTCTACATTTCGAATTTGTTGTTGTTTACCTTTACTGTTTTTAAATAGAGAAACATTTTGATAAAAAATTTCATATTTATGAAGTGGAATCGTTTAGGTAATTTTTTCTCCTCATTTTCAACTCATCTACGTTTGTCTTTTCCTAGAGGAGATATGTCGGTATGATCCCTAGGAATTTGTTGGTTGCTGAACATCCTCATTTGTTATATAACGAGAAAACTATATTATTCGGTCACCTTTGCATGACTATGAAAACAATATACCAACAAAGTTGTGTTGATAATATTTTCTTAACTACAACGTAACTAAAATAACTAATTCACTAGGGGCTCGATTGACTTAGTTGAATGGGTTTCGCGAAAATTGGTTTAGTTTGTAAGCTGTGGGTGTGCACTACTGAAGAGTCTTATACCAGGATGATCAAGATTTTCTCCAGTTTTCAGTGGTGTTTCAACTGAAATCAGTGAATATAACCTGACGAAAAGTAAACGATTTTTTTTGTTGCTGTTTGCGTTGTGGAATAGTTCGTGAACCAAAGTCAATTTATGATTACAAATGCTTTTAATTAATCCATGTTCAATGAACTGACATTTTCAATTGAATATTTATCTTACTATCTTTATACGGGAATAATAATCTACATAGATAACACAAATAAAATAACGTTTTACATCATAATCAATTTAACGATGTTGTTTGTTTTCCAAGTCAGTTGAATAAATCGACCAAGCTGAATATTTTATGTAGTTTTCGTTTTAAAGAGTATAAAAATTCCATCTGCAATTCGAATAGTTTCAATGAAGTTGAACATTAAACATCTATTGAACCAATATCATGTGTTTCATCCCAATCCGAGACTCATTAGATGGATGTATCCTCATTCCAATATTGATGTTGACCTTAGCACTCGAACCTAGTAAATTTCAAATTTAAAGCAATTAGTCCCTTTTATAAATTTCGATAATGTAATAAGAAGACGGAGATTATCATTTTAGATTTCATTTTAGAC